GCCCCGCGAAAACGTGTACCAAATAGGATAATAGCTGCGTACACAAAATTTCTGATACGTGCATAATACCCCAGTCTTTGCAATTTCAGAAGCCGAACTGCAGATTATTGTTCCAGTAACAGTCCGCTAATCATTGGTCAGACGTTTTGTTTTCAGCTCTTGTTCATCTTTACTATGCGCGCGCGTAATCTTGCAAGCGCAGTACGCACGGGTTGCGATAATAATAAGGCTGCGTTTGGAGGTCATCGATAGTGTACTATTGGGGTCGAATAGTGCAATATTGAATATATTGTGCCCATTTGGCGGCCCCATTCCCGACATTGATCTGAATATTGCAATTTTGAAAAAACTGGTTGTCCTGAGCGGTTCTTGGTGTATATTGCGTTTTTCAAGTCTACCAAATGCGCCGCAATATTAGCCAAAAACACATTATTGCATTATTGCATTATCGGCCACGAATAGTGCGGTTTCTCAATAGCGTACTTTTTGAATAATGCACTATTCGGCGACCTCCAAACGCAGACTAAACATTATCACTGAGGACCTCGGAATGGCAAAACTGAAGTAAACAAAGGCCGTTTGAAATTCATAATATTAAACCCCAAATATCTTGCCAGGGTGGATAAACATTTTCCCATATCATGATTAACATCACCCCGCATCATTACTTCGGCATATGTTTCACATTGTACGCCTGAATCCAAATGTAACGCTTATTCCACCCCTGAGCCTCTTTCCTAAAACCCATTAGCATCACAATCACCATCCCAAGTTCATCAGACAGAAACTCACCTAACATAACCCCCCGCCTTGATATTAAACTTCTCCTCCCAACAAGTCCTTCCAATCCACATATTCTGTGCACCGGCCCATCCACATCTAACACAAGTCCCATAATTTGCACAAAGATTTGTTGCAGCCTGATCATTCCATAACAACACCTTACATTCCGCTCCTGGCTTATCCATACAACACCACTGGTTATAATTCCCTGGCTTTTGCAACTCGGTACCAAGTCTGATGATGGGGACGGCATAGGGTGAGTCCTCGCTGGTTTCGCACTGGAGATGATCTGAGCTACCTCGAGGGCGGTAGTCATCGGGGGAGACGCCGATGGCGTTGGCTATGGTATCCCCGAGGGAGTCACCACCTTCGGGAATGAGATATTTGGAGATGATATCGGGGGATAGAGGGGTTGAGATGGTAGAGATGGTAGTGGAGGAGTTTGACTCCGAGCGCGAGTTTAAGGAGCGTTGGGCGGAGAAATCGAAATCGTCGGGGAGGATAAGGATATCGTTCGCACCGGGAGGGAGATTTATTGGACCGTTGAAGAAGGTGGGGTCGGTGAGTTCTTTGGGGATGGACGGTTTCACACCGCTGGCGGGGGCCGAGACAGAGAAGCCTGGCAAATGTGAGAGGAGAAATAACGTAACGAGATTCATGGAGATAAACATTATGGTGAACTTGGGGGATCAAAGTCAGTTGAACGAGGTGACCGGCTTGATTGCCAGATCCAAAGGTATATATACAAACCAGCCTCATGCACCCCGCCATTCTTGTACGATTAGGCATCATTCCATCCACGCATTCAATCTATCAGGATAGATTCCGTGAGTAACACGGTAGGCAGATTAAGAAGTTCGGCTGCTTCGAGGTACCAATATTCACTTGTCAATGTAGGTATCCGGTTCCTTATCGGTGTTTTGTAGCCGTAAGTGCAATCTTACCGTAGGTCTAGGCTGGGCAAACGTACGTCCGGTGTAGCACTTACACAAGTTATATCATGGCCCTCACATTCCATCGCTGCTTTTCAATGGTAGAAAGCCGACGGCTTGATACTTACACAAGGAATTCGATGCGATAGACTTCTTCTAAAGTTGTGTCATCACACATTATCGTAGATCTGCCGTTCTGTACGAACACTTTTATGCCACTGGTCCGATATTTACATGAAACAGCATTGGAAGTATCATCGGGTAGTCGCCAGTCGGACGATAAATTTCATATTGAAGTCGGAACAGCATGTAGGACAATCCACTATACGAATTTTCGGGATCAAACGTGAAACAAAATTGTACTTCATTCTTGATTGATATCTGCGTGTATCGTCCAATACATTCCAGCATCAGTTTACTATTGTTAAGCCCGTAAAACTACAAGCCAGTGCAGCTGCGAACGCCCATCACCTTCAGCACCTTCTCTGCCCAGTTACCCCTCCCGTTCACTACCTATCGTTTCTCAGGTGCATACACCCCGCTCCACGCCTCCTACACAAAATCCCATTAGTTATCAGTCTCAAAATTCCATCACTGCAATCACTTACGAAAACAGGCTTCCGTCTCCTTTCCTTCCTGATAACTACGGCCGGAAATCCAGCACCCATCACCCGTCAAACCGTGAAACCTATCCCTCTTATCCGATTGTCTGTCCATGATTAGCTCTATGATGCCTTTACTCTGTAACCCAGGAAAACAAACTTATCCTTGGGAGGCTCTCCCAATCCTCTATCCTTCATTCCCCTCTCGGTGAAGCAAACAAAGTTTCCTCTCCAGTCGAATATCTCATAACCGAGCAAACGCCACCACTACATTTCATGCAAGGAGAGCCAGGATCGACACTGCGACAATTATCGGCCCGTTTAAAGAGGCCGGGGACCTTATTTTCAGCTCCGGGCTGAGGCATAGCGAGGACTACCGAGACTGCGCAAGTGATCAAAAAGAATGTTGAAGAGAGCTGCATTATGAATGTTGATGAAATGAATGTGGGATAGCGGAAAAACTAGCTATCGGATGAATGCCTAGATTCCCAGAGAAGGGAAGAGCAGTAGCTTTTATGTATTCCGTTTGCTCATTAATCGGAAATTAAGACAAGCGTCAGGTACGTATACCGCGGGAAGGTGTGGGTTATATGCTTTTTTTCTTCTCCCATCCCAGCCGAAATGGGGTTTGTTGGATCTGAAATCAGGAAGGGAAAGGAAAAAGAGAACATGAAAGTACTAATTCCTTGTACATAGAAGCCCCACGGAAGCGGGTGCGACAGTAAGCGCAGGCTGTGGAGCTAAAGCCTAAAGGGCGATGCTTACTTGCTAAGTTTCGCTGTCGCTGAATAAGTCTCATTTCAGTTATCCATGAAGTTTGTTAGTTGAATACATGCGATTGGGAATATCATTGAACGTGACACTTTGTAAGCCCATCACATAAGTATGGAAGCCATAATTATGCAAAGCACAGTACCTGATTTTTGCGATGAAGATAATCGTCGTCATTATTCTCCTAGTCTAAGTCTCTCACTAATTTTTCAAAAATATTAAACACCCTATGTAACTCCAAACTCTGCCAAGATAACTGAAGCATCGTTTACCAAACGTTCGATCGCGATGGGTGTAGGCTGAAGTAAAACATTTCTGTTTCGATTCCTACACGCGGGCTTGGGTCGTGACTACTAGCCCTATGAAAAGCCTTTCAAGCCTGCTCAGTTCACGCGTTATCTCGGTAAAGGAAATTGCTCTTCTAAGTACGCCGTCCATAAAACTACTTATTCGCTCAGCAAACAAAGCTGACTCAAAGGGGCTTTAGCCTTTACAGTACCTGACGATTTCATATGAACAAAGATTTTCTTTTATAAAACCACATGTTTTCCTTCAGCCGCGCTGGTCCCGAACCTTCTCGCTTCCTGCCACCAACTTGTGTACTCTACCAACATATGCCGCCTTCAGGGACCGATCTTCACCCACGCGAGAACGAAGTGAACCGTGATGCCTGTCTTATCGACGCCGCCTATGAGTACATACACATGTATTCAGCACTTTCTTGGCGCGTAGGAATAAAAATCAGGAATGGTCGCTAGGGGGCCCGTAACTTGTCAAGGAGTACTGACAAAACCTATCAAAGACAGTGGTAAACTATTGTAAACTACCCTTCTATAGCTGTCCTCGTAGTACTTACCGTTCTCCACGCCCCAAGTGCACTGTGCGAACACCACCCGGGAAGCTTGTTAATCATCGAGGGCGTGGAGATCCGTATCCCATATTAATGGGATCCTACAAAGCCAAAAACTCGTATTCGTAGTAAGTACGTAGCTCAAAAACAAAAGAAGGGTGTTTCCCATAGTACTCACTGCCGAGACTTTATTACGCCGCACCAATGACCAAGCGAAAAGAAAAGACAAAACCCCCTTTGCCGATAATTCAGATAAATCCTTCCCTGAAGAGTAGGGCTTCACCCACATCCGCATCCCCCAAAGCGAGCATAAAAAGACTTCGCTTTCCCTACCGAAAACACAAAAAGAAAAATATGTGACCACAGCAGGGATCGAACCTGCAATCTCTTGATTCGTAGTCAAGCGCCTTGCCATTGGGCCATGCGGCCAATTGATAGATGTGGAAACCAAAAAATTGTAATGCAATAGTAGCCATGGCTTCATGAAGCGAGGAAAATGCGCGCAGCCGCAAAGAAACCGAATATCTGGTGAGTAGCGAAAGAGAGGCTAAGCGGAGGCTGAATACCTAGTAAAATAAGTAGCCACGACGTAATAGCGCCTCACGGAATGAGGGCTATACACCGAAAACAAGAGAGTAAAACACTGTGCGCAGGCGATGGGCTTTATGAAACGAGAGAGATGTCTGCAGAGAGGAAACAAATATTTGCGAAGTGGCGAGTGAAGAATGAAGCGAAGGCTGAGGAGTGAGCATTGTACTCTAATCAGCCTTGATGAACCGGCGCCTCATGGTTTGAGGGATATGATGGTTAAGTCTCTGCGAATAAGAATCGTTAAGACCATAGGTGGATCGTCCCGCAAGTGTTTCATTCCAGGTCAGCCCTACGAGCCGCATCTTCCCGTTACATAATGCATTACCAAGCTATCTTCGTGTAACACGAATCTCAATTTTACGTTATTAAATACCCGTGGGTGCGTGATAAAAACACCCGAGGCCAACTTTATCTAAACACCTAGATTACTCGCAAACGATCACCCTCCTCAGACAACAAAAGTGAAGTACCTTCCTAAGCCTCGTTTCGATCGAGGGGCCTCCGGCTCATGGGCCCGGCGCGCTGCCACTGCGCCACAAAGAAAGATACCACGGGCTGTCGTTATATAAAACTGGTTTTAAAGTTAACGTCAGCATGCGGCGGAGGTCGGGGAGTCATAGATGAGCACTCGGTGAAAAAACTTTCGCGGTTCATCAGTTTAGGCGACTCGAGATGAACTTCACGGCATTTTTTATATTAGGAAAGATGAGTCGATGCAGTACGTATAAGGTTGAGATGGGATATTTTAAAACACGGCTTGGATGTTGTAACTCGAGCTTCGGGCTTCGGGCTTCGGGCTTCGTAACTGATGGACAACCAGGTCCTTGTTCATCTATTATCACTACTCTACATTGCACAACCAGATCACTCAGGTCATCTCTTCATAATCTTATCTTGCAACTCCATTCTACTAGGACATGACTAGCTATGGTAAATCATAGCTATGGTAACTAACTGTAAAGCTAAAAAACAACGCACCACACCATCAATAAGAACCAGGAAAAGGAACTCAAAACTGGACACACACTGTACATCATATACACATCCTCTGACCTGCTCCTGATTCCCTTCCTTCTTATATATGAAGATAAACCTTGGTAGGCCAAACAAACGCAGTGCAAACAAAAACAAAAAACAACCACAAGCAAATAACGCCTTTGTCCCTAGAAGCAAAGCATCCAAAAATAAATCCCAAGACCAAGTAAGTAATCAATCGCGTGTAATTAACGAGAAAAAAAAAGTCAATAGAATCCTTCCCAAAGAAAAATGAAGAATCCAGAGAAAGGAAACGCAAAAAAAAAATAAAAATGATTAAGCACCCGGAGCGCCTACCCCCAACCCAACATAACCCAACGCCATCGTTTCTTAGTAGCAGTAGCAATTCACCTTCATAATTTCCTCAACCTAATTCGAAGTCCGTAGTTCGGCTTCACAAATTTACCGTCCCCGACCCATTCCCATATTCATGCCTCTTCCGATTTCAGGCTGTCCCATCCCATTGGATATATTAAATCCAAGGTCCTGAAACTGACCAGCCTGTGCTTGCTGCTGCTGAACGGGCATAACCACACCGGATCTGTTGACAATATGACCAGCCCTGATCGCACCAGCCATCTTATTCTGCACAATCTGTCCGCCTCTTCCCGCCTGGTGCATCTGTTGCTGCTGAATCTGCAAAAGGTGTCTCTGCTGCAACTGAGCAGCTTGTACCGCAGCAGCATTTGAATGCATCTGGCCATTAGCATGTGCCTGCTGTTGATACTGCAATAACAAGTGCGGGTTGGCACCACCAGCAGCGAGTTGCTGGTATGCCATTTGCTGCTGAGGGGTGGCGACAACCCGAGCAGCACCAGCGGGTTGAACCATTCCGGGCCTAGGGGACTGGAGTTGCTGGTGGGCAAGTTGTGCCATCCGTGGAGATTGCTGGGCAATGTGTGGCATGACTTGTTGCGGCATAGGGGAACCACGACCGGCAGCGGCGGCAACAGCCCGCTGCTGGTTCATAGCGAGCATTTGACGCTGCTGCGCCGCGAGTTTCTGCTGGTAAATGTGCTGTGGTTGGACAGGGGTTTGGCCAAGGGCGGCGTGGATCTGCTGTGCCTGGGGTGCTTGGGAGAGGGGAGCGCTTTGTTGGAGGCGAGGGGATTGGTGGTTGGAGTGTTGAGAAAGGGAGTGTTGCATTGCCATAGCTTGGGATTGAGGAGTGTGCTGTTGCTGCTGGAGATGCTGCTGGGCTGCGGCATGTTGCTGGAGGTGTTGAACGGCTTGCTGTTGAGCGGCGGCTTGCGCTTGCGCCTGGGCTTGTACTTGGGCTTGTGCCTGAGCTTGAGCCTGTGCTGCCTGCGCCTGCGCCTGAGCTTGGGCTTGTGCTTGCTGTTGAGCCTGCTGCTGTTGAGCTTGCTGTTGGGCCTGTTGCTGTTGAGCTTGCTGTTGGGCCTGTTGGGCTTGAGCCTGAGCTTGCTGTTGGGCTTGGGCTTGGGCTTGCTGTTGTTGAGCTTGCTGCTGTTGGGCTTGTTGCTGGGCCGCGAGTTGTTCTTGACGCTGCTGCTGATGCTGCTGAACTTGATGCGCCTGGGCCTGAGCTTGGGCTTGAGCTTGAGCTTGTTGAAGCTGCTGCTGATGTTGCTGCTGCTGCTGTTGTTGTTGTTGTTGCTGATGCTGTTGTTGCTGCTGCTGTTGCTGGTGCTGCATACGCATCGCCTGTTGTTGAGCGGGGCTCATAGGGCCCGAAGCCATACTTCCGGAGGAGCCAGGCCTGGTAGTGGCCGTCATACCATTAACTTGAACCGCTGAACTTCCCATTGGACCTGAACCGATGACAGGGCTTGCATGTTGACTTGCAGCGCGCTGCTTCTCCATTGCCTCCCGTTTCCGGGTCTGTTCTTGGGCTTCGCGTGCGGCACGAATTTTCCTTTCCTTCTCTTGCTTTTCGGCGGCCTGCTTCTTCTGTTCTGCATGGTTCGATCGAATACTTTCAATGACCTTGAATCTTCTGAAAGTCTGCTCCATGGAGGATCCGCCAGAGTCCGCTGCTGCTGAATCGGGACCGTTGGAGCTATGCGCTGCGTATCGTCGCTCATCCATGAAGAGTAACAACCGCACTTGCTCTGCCGCTTGTGCCTCATCTGCCTGTAGCTCGGCAATGGTGCGCTTCCGCGCCTTGGGTGGTGGAATAGGATGGCAATGAAGAGGATGTTGAAGCATCTTCATCATCTTTTTGGCATGCTGGGCATCCCGAGCCGGAGTTAAGATTAATTTGCCTGAGGTCGCTAATAGGTGTTGCGCCTCAAACTCGTGTAAATTAGAGTTGTCCAATATCATTTTTTGCTTCTTGGCAGGGGGAATTTGAGTATTAACAGTGAGAGTTGAAGGTGTACGAGGTGTTGCGGAGGTTGGAGTCTGTGCAATTTGTGCACGACCGAGTGTAGGAGGTAGCGGAGTGGATGCCAGAAGGGCCATATCGGCATGTAACGTCAACGGTGTAGGATGCAGGACTGTTGTGAATATCCGGGGACCTTTGGCCTTTCCATCCTTATTCTCCTCCTTCTTCTCGGCAACTTCTGGTGGCTTGGGTATCGGGAACGGCGCGTACGGTGAAGGACATATCCATTCATTGTAGTTGTGTATAGATCCTGGGTCTTGCTTGCCCTTGCTCTTTAACGTTGAGCTGGGAGATGATGATCTGTGATCATAAATCTGTACAATCAAGCAGCCTGTCAGGTGTTAACAGCGCTCTGCTGGCCCATTGAAAGGCGCATTGAATGGCGCACAAACCCTCATAGAATGTCGTCCCGATATCCCTAAGCTCTTCTAAAATTTCATGTGGAATAACTTCGTTCTTTATGCACTCCAGAAGGACCTTTGACACGATTAGACGTAGATCTTAGACGCTATAAGCGCGAAGATTATCGGTACAACGTACCTTCATCGGACTACCGTAACCGAAGCTGCCATCCTGGCCCTCGAACCGAAAGTTTAACTGGTGGAGGTGTATGATAAGACTCGGAGGATTTCCGGCGAACTTTTTTAGAATATATGACGTTGATTTTACATGTGGTAATGGGGGTAAGTTCTGATACGGGAGACAGTTGTGTCAGCTCGGAGTCACTACTATATATACCCCCTGCCTCCCATTAGGAGATACAACTAACCCTGATAGCTTCCTCCCTTTCTTTTGATATGCGTTCCGTCTCCGCTTCCATATCCACGTCTTTATCTTCTGCAACTCCATTCGGCTGCTTTGACTTTTGCCTCGCGAGCTCCTGTTTCTGTGCAGCTCTCCTCCGCTCCTGAAGCTTCGTATTTCCATTCGGCGTACCTGGACTTGTTCCATTGGCCGATAGCTGACTATGGGGTTGAGGACGCGTCTTTGAACTTGCCGCAGCGGTTGGTCTTCCGAAGGTAGTTCCGGGAGGGTGTTTTCCCGTCATTCGCGGAGGATTAGCGGCGGCGCTAGCAGTAGCCATTTGCGATGACGGGGTGGCCGAGTTGAGCTTAATACGCGGGCCGGATTGTGTTGTAGTCTGGATCTGAGTAGATATAGACGTTGTCATGAAGGTGTAGGTTGTTACTATATCCCCTCGATGCGGCTCTGTCGGCGCGGTAAGACGGACTGGGGGGGAGGCCTCGGTGAGCACGCTATGCGGCCACGGTCATCGGGGGGGTCTGTAGTTGTTGCGATCGCGTCGGAAGCTGTAGCGCGCGACGTAAATACACGAGAAAAATAATTGGCGACGTGAAAAGCGGGATGGAGCGAGCGTGTAGTTGTGCGACTTTGGCGACCGAGCTGGTGAAGTTGAGGTCGATACGGTAGTTTCGTGATCCAAAGCGAGATGGCGTTGAATTACCCGGCCTCAGCACGTGATGTACGTTACACGCATAGTGAGCTGGAGCTTATGGAGTTTGTGACAAGATTTTTCTTAGGGTTATCGATACGATCTCGGGTACTGGCAGATACTCGAGTTTAAGTGACATCACAATCAGTTATTTTCTTAAGCTACACGTCTGTTATGAACGAAGTTACAGTGGATCACGCGAGTGATTGAATGTGAGCGACCCGCCCTGCAATCGCGACAGGCCAAGTCCGGAGCTATCGCGTACCTCATCTCCCTAGACATCACAGCTGCATCGAAACGCGGGGAAGCTTGACGGAGTCGGCAAAAAGTCTAACAACGTCCAACCAGGGCAGCAACGTCCAAAAAGGTTGAACAGCATTGACAAGCTCCGGCAACCTTCAACGAGCCCGATAAGGTTCGACGGAGCCCTGAAACATTCAATGAAGCCCGACATTCGACGAAGTCCAGAACCTCGATGAGGTCCAAAACATTCGCCCGACCAGGGCAACGACGCTCAAAAAGGTCGAACAGCATCGAAAGCTCCGGCAACCTTCAACGACGTTCGATAAGGTTCAACGAAGCCCTGAAACATTCAATGAAGCCCGACATCCGATGAAGTCCAGAACCTCGAGGAGGTCCAAAACCATTCTACCTTGGTAACGCTTGATAAGGCTCAACCCTGCTGAGGAAGCTGAACCCGTTAGAAGA